ACACTAATGAGAGACAGTCTCATGCCTGTCTCGCTCGTAGGTCATCTGTCTTCCTCTGGCCGTGGAGACATGTGACGCGCGCCAAACGTATACGCATCGTTTCTTTTCACATACGCAAGTTACTACTAAAGCTACGCCCGACCATTCCCAGCATTGCGCACCTCAACATTACCGTCATGGAGTCTTATAATACACAAAAACGCTTTAGTTTCACCTTACCTTAACGCCCAAAGACGCTGACAAATTACTCTCGTATCATACAAGAACGATAATTTCTCAGACAATACGGTTACGACGAACTACGGGCTCACCATAGCCCGTGCTACTTGCAACTTAGCAAATCTTAAACAACAACAACAACGGTTACGACCTCTTTCACTAAAATGTTTGAGTATCTTAACATTTCTATCTCTGGTCTCGCTTCATGCAGGTCGGCGTTCAATCCCCGACCGTCCAAGTGGTTGGGCACCATTCCTCCCCCCCCCCCCGTCCCATCCCAAATCCTTATCCTGACCCCCCTTCCCAGTGCTATATAGTCGTGATGGCTTAGCGGTTTCCCCTGATAATTCCCGCCCCCATCTAAATTTTGGCGTCTTACAAACGGGGTCTAAATCGTCCATTCACTGCTAGCTTCTGTTTTCTGTTTATCTTAATTAATTTAGTTCATTTGGATAAAGGGAAATAAGACGAGACTGTTTTCTTCAAGCTCATAGTTTGGGTCACATGAGAAAAATCGACAGCCAATTTCCTCTTTACTTCCTTTATTGTTGCGTCTGTATTCACCTAGTTGAGGTTGCTGGGGTTGAGCTCTGGCTCTGTCGGCCCGCCTCTCAACTGTCAATCAATCAACAGATTGATTGACAGTTGAGAGGCGGGCCGAGAAAAAACAATCAAGAGATTGTTTTTTCTCCACACACACACACACACGGAAACAACCTGTAGCAGCTGTCTAAATCCCAGGTACCTATTTACTGTTAACAGTCCCTGTCACCTCAATGCGGTCAGCAGTAAAGAGCACTTACTCCTGAGCCCAGGAAACAAACACACACACACACACACACATTAACAAGTGGAATGCATTAGGTAGTGATGTGATAGAGGCTGACTCCATACACAGTTTCCAATGTAGGCACAGGAACCTGTACACCAGTTGATTGATAGTTGAGAGGAGGCAGGACCAAAGAGCCAGAACTCAACCCCCCCCCCCCCCCGGCAAGCACAACTAGGTGAGTACACACACACACACACACACACACACACACACACACACACACACACACACACACACACACACACACACACACACACACACACACACATTTTGATGATACTTCCTCAAATGAACAAAGTTTTGAAGCCTCAGTCATTGCTCCTCCAGGGCTGAAGGAGCCGAGGAGCACATTAAGAACATTACCTGGCCCTCCATACCTAACTCACCGGAACTGAGCGGTCGTAGGCAATGTTCTGGCAACAGAGAGTAATGACCAAACTTTGTGATAGTATTTCAGTCACCCAACGAAGGAAATTGGCACTAGGCACTTAGCTTCATATGATATGCTCTTTGGCTTCAGTGTGGTGGGTGGTGGGTGTGTGTGTACTCACCTATTTGTGCTTGCGGGGGTTGAACTTTGGCTCTTTGGTCCCGCCTCTCAACCGCCTCTAGCAGCCAATGGGTACCTGGTTGTTAGACGATTTGACGGGTCGTATTCCGGGGAAAATTAGGATTAAGAACCTGCACGAAATGCTATGCATGAACTCTTATGTGTGAGTATAATTATATAGTATAATTATATATATATATATATATATATATATATATATATATATATATATATATATATATATATATATACATATATATATATATATATATATATATATATATATATATATATATATATATATATACAAATATACTCACACACACACAATCCCAGGATGCAGTCTACAGTGACTGTCTAACTTCCAGGAAGCTATTTACTGGTAGATGAACTAATGCATCAGATGAAAGAAACTAAGCCTCGGCTGGGACTCGAACCCGAGCCATTAGAACTCCGCCTTCAGAGCGTCGTTCGCTGGCGTTCAGACCTGATAATGCTCCCTTTTGAATATAAAATTATCAACAGGCTTAATAAAAACACCATAAGAGTTATTTGTCGCGTTTGTCTGGTGTGGAGATGGTGGCAGTGGTGGCAGTGGTGTCATCCCCTGAGGCAGATGGCGGCGGCGGTGAGGATGGCAGGTGGCAATGGCATGTCCTGCCCTACTGTGCCGGCAACTGACAGCCCTGACATTTGTGGGTGGCTCCGTCTTCTGACGTTGTTCTCTCCACCACCACTTCCAGAGTCACTACCGCCATCACAGTCACCACCATCACCACCACAGTCACTACCACCACCATCACAGTCACCACCTCCCTCGACAGCCACCACCATTACCACCACCACCATCACAGCCACTATCATCACCACCACCATCACTTGCACAGTCACCACATTCACATCCAGAGACCCCCACAGCAATGCTAACACTATTTAAATCACTGGTGCTGTCACGGCTTGAGTATTGCTCGGTTACTTACTCACTTGGGCTGGACGGTAGAGCGACGGTCTCGCTTCATGCAGGTCGGCGTTCAATCCCCGACCGTTCAAGTGGTTGGGCACCAATCCTTCCCTCCCCCCCCCCCGTCCCATCCCTAATCCTTATCCTGACCCCTTCCAAGTACTATACAGTCGTAAAGGGCTTGACGTTTACCCCTGATAGTTCCCGTTCCTTCGGTTATTTACTTCCCCTTTCAGAGCGAAAGAGATCTTTGAATTAGAGGGAATACAAAGAACATATACGGCACGCATAGACACGATAAAACATCTAAATTATTGGCACCGTCTCTAAGCTCTCAAAATGTCCTCTCTTAGGAAAGGAGACGAGAGAAGTATCAAATAATACATATATGGAAGATACTGGAGGGCCAGGTCTCAAATTTGCACAGTAAAATAACAACATACTGGACCGAAAGATACGGAAGGAAATGCAAAATAGAACCAATGATTGAGCCAGAGGCACAATCAGAGAGCACTGAACATCAGAGGTGCACAGGTTTTCAACACACTCCCAGCAGGCATTAGAAATATTGCCGAAACAAAGAAGAATGCTTTCAAGAGACACTTAGATAAGATCTTGCAAGAAGTGCCGGACCAACCAGGCTGTAGTGGAAATGTGGACCTGCGGGCGGCTGCAAGCAACAGCCCGTTGGACCAAGCTCTCACAAGCCGAGCCTGGCCTCAGGCCGGCCTCGGGGAGTAGAAGAACTCAAAGAACCCTCTCCAAGTATGCTCCAAGTATGCTCCAGGTATGCTCCAGATATGCTCCAGGTATGCCACCTCCACAGTCATCACACCCCCATGCCTCTAACGCCTCTCTTGCCTCTCGTAGTTCTCTCTACACACTGCCAGTTATCATCTTGGATTATCACTTAGTCATTCACACTTTCACGGATGGTTGTCTAAGGTCAGAGAGTGGCCTGGGTGGTTGAGATGGATGGAGTCATCCATCCCACCAGGTCTCTAATCTGTCAACAAACGCCAGCGTATTCATGAGGATTCTTCCCTCCTCATCCCCTCATAATCGCCGGCACATCCCTCGCCTTAACGACCACATTAAAATTTAAGGATCTGCCGTAAAGGAAAAAAAAATGACTTTTGCTCGTTTGAAAAGTTTGTGTGATTTTTTTTTGGGGGGGGGGGGGGAGATTCTCCCGTAGTACTATAAAAATAATGGAAAAAAAACTCCAAGCCATTACGACTATATAGCACTGTGAAGGGGGGTCAGGATAAGGATTTGGGATGGGACGGGGGGAAAGGAATGGCGCCCAACCACTTGGACGGTTGGGGATTGAACGCCGACCTGCATGAAGCGAGATTTAGTATATATTCGTTTGTGTGTCTGTGCTGAGATTGGTGCCAGCAATGAATGCTTAAACTGTCCACAACAGTCGTTAATTATTGTTAGTAGAGACTGCCTCCTTTCTTCCGGGTCAGCGTTCGATTCCCCATTCCTTCACCTCTGTCCCTCCTATTCCAACTCTGATCCTGTGTTTATATTCCAAGTGGTATAAAATTAGTTTGAATTTGCGCTTTATCTTGCCTTACCCTAACTGGCAGGTAAACCGGAGGAGACATAGCTGTGTGGCTCATTAAGATCTCATTCACAGAGGAAACTCTTAGTCTGTATATTATCCTCCGACGACTACAGAGGCGCCACAGGGCATACAAACCTACTTTTCGGGCCGCGGAAGTGCACAATCACCCCACCACCACGGAAAGGTGAGCATTTCTGGGTAGTGTGGCCTGGTCAACAACCGGGCCGCGTGGACGCTAAGCCCCGGAAGCACCTCACCTCAAGGTAGGTGTATGGTGATAGACGCGGGATACGGCTATTACCACATGAAGCACACACATATATACACAAATATACACTAACATACACACACATATATATATATATATATATATTATATATATATATATATATATATATATATATATATATATATATATATATATATATATATATATATATATATATATATACACACACACACACACACGTGCCTCTACAATAAGGACTTAAGCTCAGCCTCAGTTGCTTTCCTTAAAGAGTATTTCTCTTGTCTCCCAGAATCTCCCTCACCTCACAGCATCTCTCCTTCATCTCAAAACATCTCACAACACACTTGCAGGCAGAATAGAGATAAAAAAAAAGGGAATCTGCTTCCCTTCCTCCTGATTATTCCTCCCAGTTCTTGTGTTGTCTTTGTGTGTGCATGTATTCACCTACTTGTGCCTAATGGAACACGTTTCAGCTCTTGGGCCCTGCCTTTCCAGTCCCCGGTTGTCAAATGACTTACATGTTAGCTACCAGATTATTTTGAAATTCTGGAAAAAAAATCGCGAGTATTCCTGGTGCAGTTCTCGTCTGATCTTCAATCATGTGGTGTACAGGTCACCGGCCCAATCACAGTGAGAGCTGCCAACACCTCACACCTCAAGCCCAGAGCTGCCAACACCTCACACGTCACGTCCAGTGGTGCCAACACCTCACACGTCAAGCCCAGAGCTGCCAACACCTCACACCTCAAGCCCAGTGCTGCCAACACCTCACACGTCAAGCCCAGAGCTGCCAACACCTCACACCTCAAGCCCAGAGCTGCCAACACCTCACACCTCAAGCCCAGAGCTGCCAACACCTCACACGTCACGCCCAGAGCTGCCAACACTTCACACGTCACGTCCAGAGCTGCCAACACCTCACACCTCAAGCCCAGAGCTGCCAACACCTCACACCTCAAGCCCAGAGCTGCCAACACCTCACACGTCACGCCCAGAGCTGCCAACACTTCACACGTCACGTCCAGAGCTGCCAACACCTCACACCTCAAGCCCAGTGCTGCCAACACCTCACACCTCAAGCCCAGTGCTGCCAACACCTCACACGTCACGCCCAGAGCTGCCAACACTTCACACGTCAAGCCCAGAGCTGCCAACACCTCACACCTCAAGCCCAGAGCTGCCAACACCTCACACGTCACGCCCAGAGCTGCCAACACTTCACACGTCACGTCCAGAGCTGCCAACACCTCACACCTCAAGCCCAGAGCTGCCAACACCTCACACCTCAAGCCCAGAGCTGCCAACACCTCACACCTCAAGCCCAGTGCTGCCAACACCTCACACGTCACGCCCAGAGCTGCCAACACTTCACACGTCACGTCCAGTGGTGCCAACACCTCACACCTCAAGCCCAATGCTGCCAACACCTCACTCATCAAGCCCAGTGCTGCCAACACCTCACACGTCACGCCAAGTGCTGCCAACACCTCACACGTCACGCCCAGAGCTGCCAACACCTCACACGTCACGTCCAGTGGTGCCAACACCTCACACCTCAAGCCCAATGCTGCCAACACCTCACACCTCAAGCCCAGTTCTGCCAACACCTCACACGTCAAGCCCAGTGCTGCCAACACCTCACACCTCAAGCCCAGTGCTGCCAACACCTCACACGTCAAGCCTAGTGCTGCCAACACCTCACTCATCAAGCCCAGTGCTGCCAACACCTCACTCATCAAGCCCAGTGCTGCCAACACCTCACTCATCAAGCCCAGAGCTGCCAACACCTCACAACACACGCATTACCTAAGCAGACCTACAAAACTCCCCTACACTACCTACTATAAGCTACTCACAAAGAAGGGAAAGGAGGAGAAAAGGTGGAAAGGAAAGGTTAGAAATAGAAAAATGGAATGGGGGAAAAGGGGGAAACGGAGGGCAAAAAGGAAAGGAAAAGCGGAATGGAAACGGATGATGAAAGGGGAAGGTCGGAAAAGAAAGGGAGGGAGGGATGGAAAGAATAAGAAGCGATCAGCGGAATGGAGACAGAGAGAAAGGAATAGATGGAAAGGAAAAAAGGCTGCGAGAGGTTATAGTGTGGTAATCACCAAGATACAATACAAGCCCCTTGTTAACTCTCTCCTACACTACTTCCCAACTGCTACTCCCATATCCAGCCATGCACCCCTCCCACCCCCTTCCCACTCTCCTCAACCCCCCCCCCCTTCCTTCCTCTCTTCCCCAACGGACAGACAGCCCTCCCCACCTCCCCCAACTGTAGCGTGGATAGCACAAATCGACGTCAAATTAGCGTGGTTTAACCCCAGAATCCGCCCAGAGACGAGGATAATAACTACCCACAAAAAACGGGATGAAGACAGATGGCGCCAAAAAGACGTGACGTCGTAGTGGGTGAGTGAGTAGGTGGGTGAGTAGGTGAGTGAGTGGGTGGGTGAGTGGGTGGGTGAGTGGGTGTGCGGGTCAGTTTACAGCGGGTGGGTAGGTGGGTGGGTGAGTGGGTTGGTGGGTGGGAATGGTGTGGCTTGAGGAAGAGGAGAAGGATTTGATGAGGAAGAATGATGGATGTGTAAGCAATGGGAAAGGAAGGGAAGGGAGGTGAGCGTAGAGTAAGGTAGGAGGGGATAGGTGAGTGAAAAAGGAGAGGTTACTCTGGGGAAAAGGTGGAAGGAGGAAAGAAATAGGGTTAGTAGGTGGAGAAATTAAGGCAGGCAGAGAGGGAGACAGGCAGAAAGGGAGAGAGGAAAACAGAGAGGGAAAGGGAGAGGGAGAGAGGGAGGGAGAGAGGGAGAGAGGGAGAGAGGGAGGGAGGGAGGGAGGGAGGGAGGGAGAGAGGGAGAGAGGGAGGAGGGAGGGAGGGAGGAGAGGGAGAGAGGAGAGAGAGAGAGAGAGAGAGAGAGAGAGAGAGAGAGAGAGAGAGAGAGGAGGAGAGAGAGAGAGAGAGAGAGAGAGAGAGAGGGAGAGAGGAGAGGAGAGAGGGAGAGGGAGAGGGAGAGAGAGGGAGAGGGAGAGGAGAGAGGGGGAGGGAGAGGGAGAGGGAGAGAGAGGGGAGGGAGGAGAGGGGGAGAGAGGGAGAGGGGGAGAGGGAGAGGGAGAGGGAGAGGGAGAGGGAGAGAGAGAGAGAGAGAGAGAGAGAGAGAGAGAGAGAGAGAGAGAGAGAGAGAGAGAGAGAGAGAGAGAGAGAGAGAGAGAGAGAGAGAGAGAGAGAGGAAAGTTAATGTTTGTGGATATCAACCATGGAGCCAATGTAAACAAAATCAGCTGTTAGGCACACATCTGCCCAAAATTCCCATGCATACACCAATCAAATTAACGTCAAACATCCATTCCAGACCAAATTGCTCCGTCTCTCATAAAACTAACCGCTTCCTTTTGGATATATTCCACAAGATTTTACCACTAAAAAAAAATCCTTTAGCTGCTATAGGTCCAGCCACTTGGACTGGACAGAGAGCAACTGTCTCGCTTCTTGCACTTCGGCGTTCAATCCCCAGCTGACTGGCCTATGGGACGCATGCCTTACCCTTCTCCTGATAGTTCTCTTCCCTATCATTCATCCTAAGCCTGAATCCCTATCCTCGTATCCCTTCCAAGTGCTGTGTAGTCGTAATGGCTTAAAGAGCCTTTTCCTGATAATAACCTTGTCTTATCTTGTCATTCTATACGCTGATGTGTTATTAATGTTATTAACCATCATCTTAATTCTTTCCCACTTACACTAAGCTTTAATTGCCCACTACAAAATGTTTTTTTTTACTACGGACTTCACTTTTTATAAATCTTGTGTGTTAGAAGTCAACTCACTGAAATGTGGAGACTAAACACCGTAGACTAAATCGTTTTCACTCGAAAACTTATTCAATAAACTATCACATGCCTCTGTATGACTAACCATCCTGTGTGATGGGGATTTTATAGCATCACGTAGTTAGCTTTTTTGACACACTGTACTCCACTTCATATAGTCTAGGGTAGCTGCACTAATGCAGATGTACCTAATGTGTTAATAAAAAAAAATATATACAATAAATCACTAGGACGTGTCTACACCGATGGATCAGTACAACCGTGAGCAGGACGCAGCCTGTAGCAGCCTGTAGGTCTTATGGTGAAGATATTTGCACACAGGCTATCGCTGTTAAGTTAAGCAACCGCCTGAACTCTTAAATTAACTGTAGAGTTACACAGTACAGTACTCTGTAGGTTATCTATCTTGAGGTTATCTTGAGATGATTTCGGGGCTTTAGTGTCCCTGCGGCCCGGTCCTCAACCAGGCCTCCACCCCCAGGAAGCAGCCCGTGACAGCTGACTAACTCCCAGGTACCTATTTACTACTAGGTAACAGGGGCATCAGGGTTAAAGACACTCTGCCCATCGCTTCTTGCCGGCGCCCGGGATCGAACCCGGGACCACAGGATCACGCGTCCAGTGTTCTGTCCGCTCAGCCAATAAATACAGTACTCAGTAGCTGTATTACAACTAGTTACCAGTACGCTAAATCCCGCTTGACAATTTCTACAAGATTGACAGCACGAACGTCAAAATTATCATGTTTATCGAGCAGGATATAAAAGATATACAACATCTTTTCATGAATACCAACTCATACATAACTCATCATGATGACACCGACATAACTCATCATGATGACACCGACATAACTCATCATGATGACACCGACATAACTCATCATGATGACACCGGCATTGCAGCTAATTTAGAGTGCTACAAGGATGAGATGAGCTTGACTCTTGGGACCTGCTGGTATGAGGCACCTGGAGCTATCTCAAGACTATCCTACCTAACCAGCTCCTCTACTCTTCTCCTTCTATCCCCCTCTCCCTTTCGCATTTCTCACTTCCACTTGCTTCCTCTCACTCTTTTATCAACTTTCCTTCAATACTTGTATAGTCCTCACCGTTCTCTTCATTTGGTTCCCTAATTGTTTTCCCCTGTTATTCCCTATTTCCTCGTCCCTTCCATCTCTCTCTCTTCCATTTTGCTCAGCCTACCCATCTATTCCTCTTCTAATCTTCCCTTTATCAGCTCCCACCGTCCTCCTCTATCTCTATTTTTTATTTCACTTGCAGTCTACATTCCTCCCTATCTGCCTCCCTCCTTACCTATCTCCCTCTCTGCCTTCTCCCTTCTTCTTTCTTGTCTAACTCCTTCCCTGAAAGCTCCTTCCCTCTCCCTCCCACTATCACACCACTTAAACTCCTCCTACTCGCTGCTGGGGCCAGAGTTCATACACAAACCTATTTGGGCAATTTAGAGTACCTCCCGATAAGATCACACCGACCTGTCAAGTTCAGGGTAAACATTTGGCGATATATTTCCGCAGCATGATACGTCGGGTGAGACCACTGGTTTAGCAAATATTTAAAACGAACTTGGTTGATATTACGTAGATATTACCTACAGCTGAAGATGTTAATCATTTATTCAGGAAATTAGGTCGCGCTGATTGAACTATTGTAATGTGTTAATTAGAACATTTTAAGTTCCAAAGGAGTCTGGATTTGTATTTCAGCTTCAATAAACATTTAAGTATATATATATATATATATATATATATATATATATATATATATATATATATATATATATACATAGAGAAATATGTTTAATGAATATTGAATCCCTTAAGATATTGACATATCCGGTTTTACAGACATTCAGAAGAGTCCTCCTTTAAAAAAGGGTATATGCATCAACCTCACCCTACCACCAACCTCACCCTACCACCAGCCTCACCCTACCACCAGCCTCACCCTACCATCAGCCTCACCCTACCACCAGCCTCACCCTACCACCAGCCTTACCATACAACCAGCCTCACCCTACCACCAGCCTCACCCTACCACCAACCTCACCCTACCACCAACCTCACCCTACCACCAGTCTCACCCTACCACCAGCCTCACCCTACAACCAGCCTCACCCTACCACCAGCCTCACCCTACCACCAGCCTCACCCTACAACCAGCCTCACCCTACCTCCAGCCTCACCCTACCTCCAGCCTCACCCTACAACCAGCCTCACCCTACCTCCAGCCTCACCCTACAACCAGCCTCACCCTACCACCAGCCTCACCCTACCACCAGCCTCACCCTACAACCAGCCTCACCCTACCACCAGCCTCACCCTACCACCAGCCTCACCCTACAACCAGCCTCACCCTACAACCAGCCTCACCCTACCTCCAGCCTCACCCTACCTCCAGCCTCACCCTACCACCAGCCTCACCCTACCACCAACCTCACCCTACCACCAACCTCACCCTACCACCAGTCTCACCCTACCACCAGCCTCACCCTACAACCAGCCTCACCCTACCACCAGCCTCACCCTACCACCAGCCTCACCCTACAACCAGCCTCACCCTACAACCAGCCTCACCCTACCTCCAGCCTCACCCTACCTCCAGCCTCACCCTACAACCAGCCTCACCCTACCTCCAGCCTCACCCTACAACCAGCCTCACCCTACCACCAGCCTCACCCTACCACCAGCCTCACCCTACAACCAGCCTCACCCTACCTCCAGCCTCATCCTACCACCAGCCTCACCCTACCACCAGCCTCACCCTACAACCAGCCTCACCCTACCACCAGCCTCACCCTACAACCAGCCTCACCCTACAACCAGCCTCACCCTACCTCCAGCCTCACCCTACAACCAACCTCACCCTACCACCAACCTCACCCTACAACCAGCCTCACCCTACCTCCAGCCTCACCCTACAACCAACCTCACCCTACCACCATCCTCACCCTACCACCAGCCTCACCCTACAACCAGCCTCACGCTACCTCCAGCCTCACCCTACCACCAACCTCACCCTACCACCATCCTCACCCTACCACCAGCCTCACCCTACCACCATCCTCACCCTACCACCAGCCTCACCCTACCTCCAGCCTCACCCTACAACCAACCTCACCCTACAACCAACCTCACCCTACCTCCAGCCTCACCCTACAACCAACCTCACCCTACCACCAACCTCACCCTAACACCAACCTCACCCTACAACCAGCCTCACCCTACCTCCAGCCTCACCCTACAACCAACCTCACCCTACCACCATCCTCACCCTACCACCAGCCTCACCCTACAACCATCCTCACCCTACCACCATCCTCACCCTACCACCAGCCTCACCCTACCACCATCCTCACCCTACCACCAGCCTCACCCTACCTCCAGCCTCACCCTACAACCAACCTCACCCTACCACCAACCTCACCCTACCACCAACCTCACCCTACAACCAGCCTCACCCTACCTCCAGCCTCACCCTACAACCAACCTCACCCTACCACCATCCTCACCCTACCACCAGCCTCACCCTACCACCAAACTCACGCTATCATCACTCTCGGTAAATTCTCAAAAAAATTTGGAATATGATAAAATTTTCCGAAATAAAAATTACTAATTAAAACATACTTTTCGCTCGTCTTCGTAATATTTTCTTTCCCAAAACTTACACTGCTGAAGTAATTAATATTGGATTAATGGCTTTATTACAGAGAAAAATAACATTCGATATGCGTAAATCTAAAAAGAATTACCATTCGTTGATATTTGATGTTAGGTATATTAATTATATTCCCATCAATTAGCATTCTAGAACATAATATGTTAACCAGTCATTTAAACATTTCTACAGCTCAATCAATTAAATTACATTAATATGAAATGCGCTGATTTATTATAAAGATTTTTGTAAATCTGGCAAATAATGCCATTATGGATTTAGATCATAAACATATAACATGTATATATTTTTGTTCAAGTTGCTGAACAGTTGAGTTGTCAAGTGTCTTAATTAGTATATCTTACCATAGAACAGAAGGAAAGGGTTCAAGAGCATTGCACCCCGGATAATGCTATCCATAGGCACCCCGGGATATTGCCCAATAGGTTAAACAGCGACAAAGGGAGAATGTGAAGAGCCGGATATTTAGATATCACCCCCCCCCCTCCCTTTGCTCCGTAGAGTGGAGGAGGGTTGAAAACCAAGTATTATCCCACTGGCTTTTGCGGGTTGAGCAATGGCCCCATGATATGGAGGGGGGAGGGGGGTAATGTTACTGACTGCTAGATAATATGGGTTTCGTTTCTCTGTACATAATCCACTTCAAACACCCACTTCCGCCACCACAACCCACTTACCACAACACTTAATCCCCTCCACAACCCACACCTCACCCCCCCCTCCCCTTTATCCATTTCCCGTGGCATCACACCTAATCGCCTAACCTACTCCCCATCGATCCCACCCCCATTACCCATCCCCCCTCACTCCCTATCCCTCACACACATCCTCTTTGTACCCTTTTCTCGGTGAGTGTTCAACCACCTGTTTCTCTCACACCCATTTCTCCTCCACTTCCACCTGTCCCGTCCCGTTATCCTCTTCCATAGTTCTGTCTCTTCCCTCTTTCCCATCATTGCAATGCCCCCGTATCCTCCTTCCCGCTTTTGGCTA